GCCAAGCGATAAATATTACACTTCTCTTGGAATGAAATAAAGAAATACTTATGTTATACCACATCCCTTGCCAAGCGATAAATATTACACTTCTCTTGGAATGAAATAAAGAAATACTTATGTTTTACCACATCCCTTGCAAGGATATAAAGAAATACTTATTTTATACCACATCTCTTGCAAGGAGATAAATATTACAATTCCCTTGGAATGAAATAAAGAAATACTTATGTTATACCACATCCCTCGCCAAGCGATAAATATTACACTTCTCTTGGAATGAAATAAATAAATACTTATGTTATACCACATCTCTTGCAAGGAGATAAATATTACACTTCCCTTGGAATAAATAAAGAAATACTTATGTTATACCACATCCCTTGCCAGGAGATAAAGAAATACTTATTTTACACCACATCTCTTGCAAGGAGATAAATATTACACTTCCCTTGGAATGAAATAAAGAAATACTTATATTATAGTATAGTACAATCCTTAAACGAAATAAACAAATTACATGTAATTTGATACACCTCTTGAGGTAAAACAAAAGTTATAATATATCCCTTGCAATGAAAGAAACAAATACATATGATAAAACACCCTTTTAAGAGGCATAAACGAACTATATATAACATAACCTATCATTCATATAAGAATAAGCTGTGTTAATGAATTACTTCTATAAAAATGTTAAAGCGGAAACTCTGAGTTCAGTGGTTAATAAATGTGTCAGAAGATTAACTGTGCATATAACAAAGACTGACGTAACATTTCATATTGAAACATAACTACACTCAGCCATAGTCTCTAAGGAACTTTGGAGTCCATAGTAACTTTCCATGACAGCCTGTTCTAGAACAAAACGGTTGCTACAGCCAACCATCATTTAGTCGTGGCCACACAAAGACCGATTTGTGTCAGTTTGGTCACCTAGTCCGGAAATCTGACGCATATTTGTTGTACTATGATCAGTGGATGAAAAGAATAACCTATGGATTTATTGAGCTGTAAGGACCACATGCCAGGCAACATACTGTAAAAAAGACAAAACAGTGCCAACCTATACCCACACATAAGCTTGAAGCAGTTTTACTGAACATTGACCAGGAGTGGTTATCTGTATGTGAATCACGAGTTGATCTGAGAGGATAACAGCATGTATACTTATTAAAGGTCATGAAACCTGGGGCAAGTTTTATTGTACAATGTCTGATGAATGGTTATAACAAAGGGTAGTGAATTATCTTCTGACGTAATTATACCGAGTTGTGCGAGAGGAAAATAAGCACGTGCAACTAAATACACATATTAAAAGATCAAACAAACTAATAAAAGATTTAGCCCACACTTTGACCAACTGAATTATATAAACGTTATGTTAGCACAAGCGGATGGAAAAACTAAGAACTTTACAATGAAAATAATTATTTTCATTTCTTATAAAGAAAAGTTATTGCTTCATAATGGGTTAGATAGAAAAAAAAAATCAAACTTATTTACAATTTTTCTTTGCTCATTCTTTTTCTTTATATTACACAAACTCAGGTAAAAAGAAAATTCTGCTTACATATTCGTGTCGCAATTTTGCGCGTTTATAAGTAACTAATTGTAGGGCCCGACATGGCCAGGTGGTTAGGGCGCTCGACTCGTAATCTGAGGATTCGAATACTCGTCACACCAAACATGCCAACCTCCGCCTTTGCCTGGTCCCAAGTCCAGGATGAGAAAGGAGGAGGGTTGGGCGCGGGGCTAGCAACTCCACCCCGTAAAAACCAACCTGCTACAAGTAACTGCAACAACACCTTCCGTTGGCGAGGTGTTGTTGCGGCCCAATGCTCCACTGGGAGTTTACAGGAATAATAAACAAAAAATTGAAGTTTTGTATTATTTTGAAAGCATTAACGAACCCTTCCCGTGTTTTGTTGTCCACCAAGCAACACCATTTATTCGAATCAAAGATGGTTTCGAAACTTAATACATGGTAAAACGCTTTTATAATGAGTTCCACGAAGTATAGTCAAACGTTGTTCTGCCTAGTTTACTGTGTTCATCAACATGCAAAGTTTGATCGAGAGAAAAAGTTGTCTTGCTTGAGACGATTAATTCTGTTACTAACAGGTTGGTACCCGAACTGTGTAGGGTAAAATATTTGTGTGTGTACATGGATATTTATTGTCGTTCCTACTAGACACTAGTAAGCATTTTTATTCTTTGTTTGTACAATGAAATGATAAAGTGATTAGAAAAACAAACAAACGAACAGGTTGTTTAACCGGCTACCCTCTTCCTAATTTATCTATTTTTTGTCATATTTTTATATTCTTTATGACAACACTATCACGTAAAAGTCACAATTTAAGAACTAGAAGCAGTGAGTAAATCTGTTCTGACATTAAAGAAACAATGTCGTCTGACTTATCGTGCGGAAGCACTACGTAACATTTAACATGTTAGTGTTCTAGAAACAATTGGATAACATTATCATATCGAACATTATTTCACTTATTTAGCGATATTTCGGTGATAAAAGTTTTATATATTTCGTGCGGTTTTGAATTGATTAGCTTGTCACGGATATAAAATCTGTGATAGGTACTTTTCTAAAGTCAAGAATACACCCAACCTTTAACTTATAAACCTAATCATAATAACAATAAAAACATAATTTTACTTACACTCCGGGTTGTTTTCAAAGAAAAAAAACAGAGAGTCAGTCAGATTTTAATCAACTGCTTTTGTTGTTGTTGTTTTTCTTTTCACGTAAGTTAGCAAAAGAAAAATAGAACGTCTCTTAATAAAATCTTGTTCAAATTATCTTATTCTGATGTGACTTTGGTGCTCTTTGTGTCTGATCTCTAAAGAACGGAAGTTTGTCTTATATATTTCTTACCATATTCATATTGATTATCCTGCTTTTGTTCTTTTAGTAAAAGTTGTTTCAATTTTGTTAATGAGACGCTTGTCATTTTTTTTTTGTTACTGATAAGGGAAAGACTGGATTATCATAGAAATTTATTGGTCTTGAAGTTTAACAAAGGCTTTATATACGTTCTGTAAGAGCTTCACTTCAGCTTGTAGGCCTTGTTTTTTGAGAACAAAAATGTATAGCTCGCTTTACTGAAGTAAAGTAGTTTTTTTTTTGTTTTCCTGTGTGGCACGTACTAAGTTGTTCTAACTAAGGTATGGCATAATTGGACAAGGTATTTTCTCCACTTGAGGGCGCTGTATTTCGTTCTATATAATGCAGTCAAACGAAAAGCTTTAGTTAATTGCGTCGTGTTAGAGGAAGGACAACATCATGTGGTGGTTACAAGTTGTTTCTGTGATTTTTGTACAGTGTTGTATTCTGAAAAGTAAGTTCAATTTCGATGAAATTGCTTATTTTGTGTGTGTGTGTTTTTGTGTTCAATTGAGAAATGTGTTAAATTGTACATACGTAAAATTTAAGTAATTTTAGGTCTGTTTGTCCGTAATTCAGTTTTGGTGTAAAATGTACAGGTGGTATCTTAAATTTTAGAACTAGATAACTTAAATTGTAAAATTTTTGTTGTTTTGTTTTTTTCGGAATTTTGTAATATCGTTTTGGAAAAACTTACTACTCAAACGTTGTTAGTAAACTAATGTTTGATTTCATTACTAAGAGTATAAATGTACAATGAATATCTACTCAAACGTCATGATCTTACTTCTGCTTGTGGGCTCGGCATGGCCAGGCGGTTAGGGCGCTCGACTCGTAATCTGCGGGTTCGAATCCCCGTCACACCAAACATGCTCGCCCTTTCAGCCGTGGAGGCGTTATAACGTGACGATCAATCCCACTTTTCGCTGGTACGAGTAACCAAAGACTTGGCGATGGGTAGTTATCACTAGCTGCCTTCCATCTAGTCTTACACTGCTAAATTAGCGATGGCTAGCGCAGATAGCTCTCGTGTAGCTTTCCGCGAAATTCAAAACAAACAAACTTCTGCTTGTCTTACGAAACAGCATTAAGTTGAGTCGAACGTTGTTGTGTACATAAGAAAATGCAAACAAAGATTTGTATAATTTCAATATAAACAAATGGAGAATAAAATAGCTACTTAAAATCTACGTCATAGAGTAAATATAAAACTTTAAACTGGTATAGTGGCTATTCTCTTCCACAGTGGCCTTGGGAATTGTGTAGAATATATTGACAGTGTTTTGATAAGTCTTTTTTTTTTTTTATGGAAGTTCGTTGTCGATTCTAAGTAATGTTTTTCATGATATTTTATAATAATAATAATAATAAAACCCAAAATCTAGTCAGCAAATCAATCTCGTTAACAGATAACCCTAACAAACCATTATGTTGCTGTATATGATAAACGGAGTAAACAATAGACACACTAAGTAAAAATAATGTCCTCAAACTGAGGAGAAGAGGGGTTTCACAAACTCCCACGACTGAGGAGAAGAGGGGCTGCACATACGCTTTGCATATCCTTAATTTGTTGTAAAACTGAGACAAAGTTACACTCTGCTGACAACTTTTTATTTTGGAATGTATGTGACCGTACTCGGTATGATGGTACCACGTGATGCTTGGCCATGTATTTTGATATGTCACTATAGTCTTGTTTACTCTTTAACATCGTGTTTGTACTTGATTTGTAATATTTAAGACTCTGGAAATCTTAAGTCTAACTTTTGCGGTATACACTTGTTATAGTATTAATATAACCTACCGTCACTTCAAAATATTTTTTCTTTCTGAATGTTCGGAACGGATATGTCTTATTCCGTGTTTTGTTTCTGAATGTTCGGAACGGATATGTCTTATTCCGTGTTTTGTTTCGAGAAAATACCTGTTTACGACCCCTTTTACTGTTGACATGTTTTTAAAAGATGTAAGTATCAGATTGGCTCCGTCGATTATCTGCTCTTGCTGGTTTCCCTCCCCACCCTTTCTTCTCTTTCCCTTTGAACACTAATGTTATTGGCATATGGCAACTCTTATCATTCGTCATTGAGAAGCTTTCAGTATAGTTCCTTAGTTAATTATTAAACTTTCTAGCCCTTAACTACTGTAATAACTTTTGAAATGTGTAACAGTTGAATGATTAAAGCCTCTCCTGCTGCATCAATCTATTCTATATACATACTGATAAAATGTTTACGAAAGGAATGACATACTGTTCTTACATCAGTGTTTAACAGGGAAATATTTGGACTTATCCTTATTTTCTTAGTTTATGCTGGATATAGAATATTAATTATCTTCCCCTTCCAATAGCTTGTGTATCTGTTGCTTGTTCCTGCAAGATTATTGGGTTAGTAGGTGAAGGCTCTGAGCATGTGAAAGTACTTTGTCTTACGATATGGTCACTTTTTTTTTTTCTAATCAATGACCTGTTTAATTTTAAGTGGTCAAGGATAACTTGTATTTTCAAAATATTTAATTACGTCTATTTCTGCTTTACTTGCTACCAAGGACGAACCTGTTAAGTGTTTTGATTAATTGTAAAAATGGTATACAGCAGAAGGAGCCTGTTTCCTTTTTTTTTTTTATATTGCCCGTAAAATATTCAGTTTTCAACAACTTGTGCAATGCACACATCTTCCTGGTTAAGAACTTTAACTATAGGTTTTAAAAGCTATTAGGTAAAATTAAAATGTATTTTCTGGAATCACTATTTGGGACGAATACCGAAATTAGGCACCTTATTGTCAAAGTACAGTGTGATCTTATCATTACTCAGTTATTTTAACAGTAGGATAACAAAATTCCTGCTTTTTATTTAATCCAAATGAACATAATTGTGTTAGTCTTTACGTGTCTGTTGTCTAGTATCAGGTGTTGTAATCTTCCACGAACGTCTCGGGGCTGCCGCAGAAACAACTCGTCCCCCCCCCCCACCCCGAGGTGTCGTGCTGGCGATGTGATGGGCATTGTTATACGAATGTGTAATACGGCATGACGTTATAGATATAACTACCATTGGCAAAAAGACAAACTAAACAAACTCCCATGTACATTGGCTTCCAAAAGATCTGGTAATTTCGATCATAAATGGTGTGTGTGTATATACCTGTGTGTTAGACAGGAATATACAATATAACTATTTCATAAACCTACTATACCTGGCAGAACTAGAGGACAGACCGGGCAAATATTGCATAACTAACGTCTCCACCCGTATTTTGTCGTTCATAAAGTTTTAACTAACATTTTAAGTGAATTTATGTCCGCTATTTCAACAACTTTTCGCTTTCAAACTTTAGAAACTAGTTTTTACTCGTGTCCTCTTCAGTCCTAGATAGTCTTCAGAGAACTTTGATATTCGATCTCAACTCCCTTGAAAACACGTGGTCAGAAATGTTGAAGTTCGGTAAACTTTTAATACGTCTTCAAAAACGTAATTTTCGTTGACATCTAGTTTACGGTATGTTCGATGTCTTGTATAGAATAATACTGTATAACTTGTACTTCCGCTTTTAATGTCTCTTGTGTTTGAAGTTCCTCAAAGAAACTTCCCTTAAGCTGTGCAGGCGAATACTGCAGGACTGAAGAGGATACGCGTGAAGTGTCAACTAGTTTCTTACTATTCTGTTCTAAGTGGGTTTAATTTTTCTTCGATAATTTAACAACCTACGAACAACAAAGGCATAATTGGTACTTAAAGGTTGTCCATGTACATCCACCTTGGGGGGGGGGGGTTAGAGTCAGGGTATCAATCCTTCCCACCCCCTCACTTCCTGTAAAGTGACTTACATTAATGCCTAGGGAAATACGGAAATTCATTTTCCATGTCGGCTACCTTATAGCTTGCCTGTTTTTATATCATGTTCTCCTCCTATTCCATTCAGAATATTACGGAAGAATCGGAGACAATCTTGTAACTTGCAATAGTATCACTTCCTCTAGAGAGGTTGATCTTAACATTACCCTTGTAACATCCTAGTAACTCTTGGAACCCTCTTCAGCTGACACCAGTGGCACACAGCGGTATGTCTGCGGACTTACAACGCTAGAAACCGGGTTTCGATACTCGTGGCGGGCAGAGCACATATAGCCCATTGTGCTTAATTACAAACAAACCTCTCCAGCCAGTCAACGTCCTTTTAAATATAAAAGAATTACCTATTTTAACTTAATAAACAGTATTGGGGGGGGGAGAACTAAAAGTTTACTAGTAACAAGCTGGTTGTGATAAAAGCACATTTGTAGCACACAAATGTCGTGTAGATGAGTATACAGGAAATAGTTTCAGAAATACATCAATTTTGGTTTCTTTAAAGAGTAGTATTATGTTGTTGTAAATTGGGCAAAGGACATCGGTCTCGGCTTCCACATTAATATCAGATTTGTTTATCGTGAACATCTATATTGTTTAGTTACCTAATCAGATCTCGTAACATTAGCTTTTGTACTATGCACAGTATTGGTAAGTGTAGCCTCGAAATTCGTCATAATGTTAGATATATAGACCATAAGTGTAATTAAGAAGACGAGCTGACATCTGTGTAACGATTGGTAATAAACGTTCTGCCTTAAATGAACAAACGCATGGATTAGCTTCTCATCACTCCAGTTGTTCGTAGAATCAACTTCCACTGAAGGCAAAGATGAGAACAGCGGTAGTCTAACAACTACATTACTACAAAGGAGATAATAACAATGTAGTTTACAGTAATATGGATGGAAAAACCAGAAATTATAGCGCAGTCTCCGCTAAGAGTCTGAAGAGTTGTTATATATATATATATATATATATATATATATATTTGTTATATATATGGTGGTTGTTTTTATCGTTATGCTCCAGGTTTGGTTTTTGAAGAAATGAAACCCGTTTATTTACTTTGTTTTCCTTTCAGATGTATGGGGTGAAAAGTATTACGGAAAGTTCGTAGGGAAACTTGACACTAAAGCTCATGATGTAAAAGGAAGTGTATATGCGGCTAACAAAGATACCTTCTTCATAAAAGGCTTCAGTTACGACGGAGAAGGACCAGGTTCGTATAGATTTAACTTAATTCCAATCATCGTAAACTTTTAAGGTAATAAGTAAATCTTGTATGAAGCTGAGTTCTAATTGACAAAAATTAGATGTTGTCATGAACCTACATTATCGCCAACGTACTGTCATAATTGTAACTATGATGCTTTGCCAGCTTAGAAAAAGCATTTACGTAATAATAATAGTAACTCGTTTAACACACCCCTCCCCTCTTCAGTGGCGGCTCTAGGACTTTCGTGTACATGCAACCACTATTATACCATGACCTATGACCTCTTCCTAGTATCCTATTTCTCGAACACTAATATTCACATGATGTTGTGGTACAAGTGATTACCAATGGAAACTGGCGATTGGCTAAGGAGAACCTAGTACTGGTGGTACCATAGACGGCTGTCTAGTTCATCTCAACTGAGAACTGCTACTGTATTCACCCACTCTTTAAATACACCTTTCAATGTTAGTAAAATAAGGTAGCTTAAAATACGTAAGGAGAAGAAACAAAGCTACTGTGGTCTTTTCCGTTTAGTTTGTTCATTATGTATTAAATATGTACGCTTGTTATTCTACAGAATTAATGACAAATGACTTGCTCTATTCTGATCACTATACATCTCTAACATTGTATACAAAATGTCATTTAACCAGTCCTACCTGTTGTTTGTACATCCACGTGAATTTTCCCAGAAAATCTTAATTTTAACATCAGCACTAAAAATATAAAAGTGAATTATTCGTTTTCTTAAAGACACGAATTTGAAGATAAATTCGGTATAAAAACTTTTCTAAAGTTTGTTAGTGTAAAATCTCTTAAACTGGCTTTGAAACTAACTTTTTTTAAGGCATTTGCTATTTCTTACCTGTAAATGTTTTTAAAAATGGTATCAATGGTGAATAATATAACATTGGATTAACAAATACCCTCACCCACTTCATCCAGCCACATCACATTTTGTTCAATGTAACTCTGATTCTTAGGTGAATTAGGAGCTGAACTGAAAGAAAATCTTGCTTAATACAATGATTTATTGTCTCATGTTTGAAAAGTTAAAATATTAAAATTTAAATGAAACTTCATTGCAAGTATATATCTTAATTAGTTACAAATCTCTGAAAAGCAGTTTTTTATTGTAAATTTCTTGACATCCTGTATCTAAATTATTATAAAGAACTTAATGTAATTTAAATCTTTTTTCAATAATTAGATGCATTTTTCTGGGCTGGGAGTACAACTAGCCCTTCTGAGGATGGTTTCATTGTTCCAGATGAAAAAGGAACGTAAGTTAACTCTTACGTACTTGAAGTGAATATGCTGGTAGTGTGCCATGTAGTTAACAGTGAAATTTTAATGTTTTTATTTATCTTTTGAACATTTTGTCTAACCTTTCTCAGTCTCACTCAACTGTGTACCTAGTGGAATAGTTTTATTTTCATGTTTGAAAGAACTACTGGTAGAAATGTTGGTTAGGAAGGATTGTGCTAGCTTGATAAAATCATTGTAAATTGAATATTCTTGATTTTTTTTTATAGATTTCTTCAATGTACTTTTTTTTTCTTTTTACAGAGAAAATGTCTTAAGGAGATACAGTAACAAAGACATCTGGATTAAGCTACCAAATGGGAGAACCATTAAAGATGTTAACTGGCTGAGTGTTTGGTGCAGAGAATTTAAAGTAAGTGTTTTGCTCTCTTTAGTATTAACTTGGTATTTGAAGAGCACTTCATAAGATGTGATCTAAATAGTCACGATAGACCACAAAGTATAGATGTAGTCATCCCTAATCTAGAACTGCTGATAAATAAAAGGAGAATCGGTCAGAAGCATCTGCTCCTACTTGAATAGTGGGATTGACTATCATGGTTGCCACCTATTATACCTTTTATGGGGGAAAACCATTCCTTATTCAGTTACAAATGTAGCTTAGTTTTTGAACAGAATAAAATGCTGAAAATGTTAGGTGCTAATTTTATAGCTAAGGTGGTAATTAATCTATTCACTTATGAATATGCACTGCCTTTTGTCAGGCATTTTGAAGTTGTTGAATAGTAATTTTTCTGAATCTAATTATTAGAAAAGCAACTTGTTAGATTTAAAAATGCAAAAGTGTGGATTAAGCAAAATTACACCTATAGACTTGTTCTGAAGTTTGGGTGGAAGTTCATTTTGACTTTTATTGGAATCTATTTTTATTCAGTTATTTGAAGGAAACTTTAGTTGGATATATTTCTTGTACTTGTGTTTGAAACTGCAAAGTAGGTAACAATATATTACAATAATTGTAATAGAATCCTTAATTGACTGGTACATCAGTAGAGCATACAGTGTAGACTCTAAATTGGTTCCTCATCTTTATGAATGATTAAATTCCTATTTTTGTAGGTAGTTCATAGCGCTGGAAAACCGTGTAACCTGTAGGTGTTTGGTCATGTTTCTTTGGTAGTATTTGATTTTTTTACTATTAATTTGCAAATTCTGAAACGTTGCAGTTCCTTTAGTTTTGTTTCAGGATACTTTCAGACCAATACTTAAATTCCACCCAACCAGGGCTGTACAAACTATTAAACTTCTTCCAATATCCTAAAACAAGTTAATCTTGATAGTTAATTACAAAGCTGTAAATATTTCCTCTAGGCTTGTACATTGTGTTTGAAAACAGTTTCTTCTGTTTCCCAAGTGTTGAGGATAGTGAATTAAGAATAAATCAACTCTTACGATATGCTTTGTTCATTAAGATTTTCTTGGATTTTTCAGGTAAACTTTGGCTCACTTCAGATTCCAGATAACTTGGAACTTCCAGGTCCAAAAGTTATTGAACCACTCCAAACTTTTGCTCATGGAGTAAAGTCTGATCCCATTGTGATAAAAGATGAAAAAACAATATATATACCTAAACTCCAGTATGATGGTGCTGGCCCAGGTGTCTTATTTTGTTTTATATACATTTTTATGAAGTTTAAGTTCATGTTTTTATGATACATTTTGATTTGTAAACAACTAGTATTTGTGTACCCTAAACTTCTAAAACCAATCAACTAGGTTTGAGAATGTGTAACTTGTAGACATGTATGAACATTCAAGCAAAGAATTATCAATTAGTGCTTCAAAGATGTCTAAAAGTGTAATTTACAATTAGATACCCCTCTCTCTCTCTAAACTAGCTCTTAAAACTTGTTCTGTTGTCATTGGAATACTATTTAAAGGTCACAATTATACAACCTTTTTTTTTTCTCTCTATTTCAGATGTATATTTTCTTGTGGGGAAGGGAATCAAACCTCAGATTCAAGGAGCTACAAAAGTACCCGATGAAAAAGGAAGGTAAAAAATAAAAAAAAAAAGTTTATTAGCTGTTTGTACTTTCCTAGAGTAACCATTGATTTAGAATTTCATCTTTGTTACTGCTAAAATATAACATTTTGGTTTCTGATGTCTTTCCACAACTTTTGAAATTCAAGCAAGCTTAAAAAAAAATTGAAGATCCTACAGGTTTGTAGGAGTCCAATCTGTGTTTAAATAAAGGAGAAGATAGGTATAAATAAAAATGAACAGAAAGATAATTTGTTTCATAGACTATTATAGCAAGATACCCAAATATTGGTAAATAGTTAGATGAAGAGTAGATATACGTTTTAATGTACTCTAAGCATTTTCTATATTTATTAAATTTTGTTCTCCACAGTACGGATGTCTTGCATGGTTACCAGGGTCAGGACATCACACTTACTCTACCTGCTAAATTGACAGTTCATGACATTGATTGGTTCAGTCTTTACTGTATTCAATATCAAGAGAATTTTGGCCATGTTGTCATCCCTAAAGACTTGAATGTGCCTGCCCAGATAGGTTGATATTGTCATCTGAAGAAATAAAATATTTTAATAATTAAAATGTATTATGGAGCAATTTTATTGTGCTATTTTTTTCTGAATCTCTTATATTTTTAAGGTTCAATACACGGCTGTAATTTTTATTTTGTTAGCAATGTACAACTTATGTGAAGTAAGATTTTATAAATGGTGCCTATATGTCTGAATAAATATTGTAAAATTTTCTTAGTTTGTTTTTTTTTCTTGCATGAAACATTTTTTCTCAACCCTGATGTAAATTAATATGTGGAAGCAAGAAAGAGGCCCTTGACTGCAGCGTAATAAGAGGTTCCTTAAAAGGTGCCACAACTTCCTTAAATTACTAAAACTAAATATTTCCACACGAAATATCAATGCACAAAAACAAACAAGTTTTTAATGCTAATCTAATTTTAGTTTTGTAAGTTAGAGCGGCTGTAAGGTAATTAACGCAACATGTTTATAGTTATTAATCTTAAATACTTCCTGTATAAATTACCTTGTGATTAGGGTTGTCTGGACAAATCCAGTGCATCCTTGCAAAGTGTACTGTATTTTACATTAACTTTTTTATTTTCATTGGTTAATAAGCCACAAGTCATTAGCCAATTATATTCGTCATGACCAGTTTTAAATGTTAAAGGAGATTCGCTGATACCTATTGGAAGGAAGAGGTCGAAAATACACTTAACCCAGGACCTCAACGACCAAAACCCGGTGCCGACCAGGTGCTTATTGGAAAAAAGAAATTCCCGCGTTCTTCTTTAAAGAAGAAAGACGTGTGTGCTTGCTCTCTCCAAATATTAGATCGTTCCTTTACACTAACCTTAATTTAAAGTCTAAGTTCAACAAATAACTACGGTTAGATAACCAATGGCATAACCAGCACCGGCCGAGACTGGCAACCAACTTAATAAGGAACAACTCGTATTCTCTTACTAGTCTCTCGTCCCAAAACGCAAACAAGCCTCAACGGAGTTAGGCGTGCCACGACTTCAACCATGAAAAAGAAGGCAACAGTTTCCGGGTCTTCAAGTAATGTAAACAAGCCATCGGCCTTTTTCTCCATAGTGAGTCTTGTGCAGGTGGCAGTAATATTAAGAACATGGCTATTAATTTTGAGTTGGCCTAATTTCATGTGTTAAAACTGATCTTGGTAAAGTAACTTAAAGGACTAGGCCAGGGGTTCCCAAACTTTTTAGAATCGCGACCCATTATTCATGACCACAGCTTATGGCGACCCACTCAAATTTACTGGGCAAAAACATATGAAAGAATATATAAAAAAATATTATTTACT